AGTTCAGTTCAATTTTGAACTGAACTTGAACTTGGTCAAAAGTTCAGTTCAGTTCAGTTCATAGAAACACTATATGTAAGTTGATCAAATGCAATAAGTATACCTTCACCTTTTTTTTCTATATGATGATTTAATATTTTCATATATTAATTTATCTTAGATATATAAATATAACCGATTTAGCAATTACCCAAGTAAAGTAATTTTAGATTTTGAAGTTTTGAAATGGATAATAATGAATCTAATACTAAATTACCTTCTGATAACAATGCTTCTAACACCAATTTACCTTCTAATAATAACGCTTCTAACACCAATTTACTTTCTAATAATAACACTCCTACTACCAATTTACTGCTTGAAAACACTACTCTTATCATCAATTTACTGCTTGAAAACACTACTCCAAACGCAAATTTACTGCCTGATAATACAACTATGAACAACTCACCTTCACATTTTCCTGCCACTCTTATCAATACATCTCGATTTTAATTGATTGCTTCATGATCTGTTACTTCATCTCAAAATATTGTTAGCCCACACCAACCAACTTATAATATTTGTAGTAGTTCTTCTTCAGATAAATCAATCAAAAGTATTATAAGTATACAGAAAATATTTTAAAGAATAAGCAGTAGTAAAGATAAACGAGCTAACTTGTGACAATTAGGGTTAGGGGTATGGGTTAAGAAACATGCCTCATAGGGTATACCCCAGAGGCATGCCTAGAGCATGCTCTTTGACCAAAAAGTATACCCCTATCATGTGATATAGTGCTATTATATAATTGGTCAATTATCAAATTGGCCAATTAGAATAACATCTACTATTGCTAATTACGATAAAATATGATATATATATCTATAGAGACATGCCCTGGACATAAAGGGGCATACCCTTTGCAAAGGCATGCCTCCAGAGGCATGCCCCAAAAATTTGCTATGCCTCCAACCCTAGTGACAATCCACACAATCTTAACAGCCATCAATTTCACAACAATCATCTCCTTCACGGCAACCATCTCTTTCACAACAACTATCTCTTTTATGACAACAATCTCTTTCACGACAACTATCTCTTTTATGACAACTATCTAATTCACAACTATGACAGCCATCTAATTCACAACCATCTCTTTTATGGCAACTATCTAATTCACAACTATCGCTTTCACAACAACTATTATATTCTCAACAAGAATTGTCATCTAATGATATTCGTTCTCATCAACGTCAAACATCGCATTCAATCGAACATAATAGATCCTTATCACCACAGTACTTACCAGTAAGACGATCAAGATATATCATAGATGATCGAGATCAAGATCATGTGATAGATGATCATCAAATCAGGATTAACTACACAATCGTGATGGTCAGTATATAAGCTTTTTTTTTGTTTTTTTGATCTTAAATATGTTTTATTTCTTTTGAGTTTTTTTTTTTTTTCTTCTCTTTTTTTTCTTTTTCTTTTCTCCAAATATAATAAGACCACTCTATCTATCACCACCAAGTCGATTAAAAGCTTTTTTTGCAAAACAGACAGCTTTATCTTTTAGTTCAGAAGATGAGTGATAACGTCCATGAAATTAAAGACGAGTTGAGATATCAAAAAGGTCAACAGGAAAAAGACCTTTTTACTAAGGTGTTGGATGTAAGTGGCTATCATAAATATATTATAATAAATGGGATGTATTTTTTACTTGGTTTTTTTTTTGTTTTTTGTAGGACATATATGTCACATATCGCTTTATGAGATCTCAGAACTTCAAATTAATATGCGTTATTTCAAAATTTATATCGATTGAAATGTAATATATGTCAATATTAACTGCGTTTAAATTTAACTACAAAATTTTTTTTTTAATCATATAATTAATCATACAATTAATCATACAATTAATTATATAAAAAAGCTACAATCGATATTTAAAAAAACTTTACCGATTTTTATTTTCTTTATTTAGTATCAATA